AAAAACGGAGCCGCAGTATGTAGTAACTACATACTGCGCCTTGCTTGTGAAGCCGTATGAACATAATTGCGACCGAAATAAACCACAATGCGGGCATTTCGGTCGCACTTTATGTCCATACTATGTGCAAATGTGCAAATTTTAAATAGCAATGTGCAAATTCTAAATAAGCACGTTTAACTAAATTAAAGAACAGTAAAACTTTTATAATTTTAATTTCGTATAGTTTTTAGCATAATTCCGAAAACCCTATTTAGTATAATGCTTAGCAATATTCAAATTCTAGCAATTTGTATAATGCTTGACAGATATTCAAATTGTCCAGTCTTGAATAATGCTAAGCACATACAAATTGGCTGAAATGGTATAATGCTTAGCATTATTCCAAATTCGTAGCATTATTCGAATACAAAACCACACTAGCAGAGTGTACTGTCGAATAAATACATACAAGTATCATGGCCGTGTGCATCGTGCGCAGCGCCTGCCGGTCCTATTCCACAGCCGGCATACGGCATAGCACACGCGGAAAACACACTGGGCGGAGAGCAGAAACCGACGCCTGATTGACTCCATCACGTCAACTGTCGCCTGTCAGCATCTTATACTTTATTATTCTGTAATCAACTAATAATTATTATTCATCAATAGTCCCAGTGTATGAATCTCGTCGCCACTGTACAAATGGACCGGAAACGTGGAGTGTTCCATATAATTACTCGTATCTATATTTGTACTATGCGATAGATTTAACGCACTGACGCCCATTGGTGCTGGGGCGCAACAGGGTCTTCAAATTGTTTTTCTTAATGAACAACAGCAATTAATCGATATCGGATAGCGTAATTAGCGTTACGAGACCTTACAGCAGCAATAAAAAAACAAACCAAACTGGAATCTGAAGTCCCTCAAGAAGCACGAGGTCGCGAAAGCCGCCAGTTTCGAACTTTCTGATCTCCCGAAGGTCCTGCTAATTAACTAATTAGTCACTAAGTCAATTAATCTGAGATAATTCAGAAATGTACTATCAGTAATGCTTTATAAGAAAATGACAAGCGTCGGTTCTAAAAGTTAAACAGTGGATGGCCACAGTCCATCGAAAACTTGTGTTGCGTGCAGACACCATTGGGCATGTATGGTCCTGAAGTACGGGCGGGCGCAATTTCGACACTTTTATAATTATGTAAATCGGATAAGGTCTTGTTGGTTCGGACTTCTAATATGCTCCACGTGGTTCTGCTTGCCGGAACTCTTCCAAAAACAATTTAGTTGGGCGGCACCCTGGGCGGTCGGCTATGGCCTTCAAACGAACGAATCGGTGGTCGTTTCTGGACAACCTAACCTTCTTTGTGCATAGTGCATTTCCACTGTAATCAGCATGATAACCTTGCAGCCTCCCTTGCGCCTCGTACGATCTACTGCATTTTACACGAACCAGACCTTACAGCGGTGTAGGCGAGCAGGAAAAAATACATCGGTCTCCTGGAGCCGTGGATGATAACAACTCCAGTAATTACATGTCCGGTAGTGAGTAGTGACCTTTGCGCCAGGTGTAGTAATAGCATTCGGCCGATGCTGACTTCATGATGGCGGCTGCTGCTTCCAGAACTGCTGATGTGAACTTCAGCGCATCAATACCGCACGCGCTACTGGACCGTCATCGCTTATTTCCGATCCAAACGCTGCGGCTAAATCCATAAAAGTGCAATCATGCACCATGCGTGCAGTGTAAGAGCAGCTCGGCGTGTCATAAAGACTGTTATGCGATTTGTTGTACAAAAAGAAATGCTGTTTTGAGAATTGGATTGTTGATAATCGCTGCATTTGTTGTGTCCAGTTATTCACCAATTACTACATCATGCAGAAACATTTTCCAGTTTTGCTGACCAATGGTCAGTCTACTGACCACTGCAATACGAGGACAATTGGGTGCTGGGAACATACCCTGCACGATTAGGCTGCAATGAACAGCCAGTCAGCCAGTTAGCCGTAGCTCGCAACGCTACTGGTGTCACAGTCTGAGTGCAAACGGCTTAAATTTAGCCGGCTGTTCATCGCAGCCTAATCGTGCAGGGTATGTTCACAGCACCCAATTGTCCTCGTACCCTTGTTTTGAAGCCCTCTTTATGGTCTATACGATAAACGTTTTTGTTTCGGTCAGGTGTTGTTCGCCGAATTATTATAGAATTAAACGTTTTCGTGACTAGGACCGTCTGCGCCCAATGGTGCTGCTAAACACCCATGTCACCGCCGGTGACCTATGGTCAGTACAAGCACACAAAAAATTCCCTTTCTTAACTGAATTTTTTCATCGGGAAATCCCGGTTTTCACGAAGAAACTCCCACCCGTTCGGGTAGTGAGCGTTGGAGGGTTAAGTACAACATAGACTGGTGACCGTAGAAATTCTGCAGCCTGGAGTCTGAACGCTCGATCCAGGGTGTACCTAAAGGCAATTATACATTAGTTTAGTTTAGTTTAGTTTATTCAAGAGCAGACAAACCCTGAGGCACTCGCTAGTCTGGTCAGATAATAATAGAAAAATAACAAATACATAACAACATCCAGATGGTAGAGCAGCGGAGGTCACATAATATTACAGAAGGTTTTTTGAACGTAGAGTAGCCAGGTAAAGTTCAATAGATCCACAACCGAACACCTCTTCCCCACGTAGTTTTTTAGTCTTACCATCAACAATTTTAGAAAACATTTTTCCCGTTATTTTATCATACAACTGTTTCAGCCTCATCTTCAGGGTTGTCTTCCCGATGCACAACCGCGTGGTGGCATCGATCCGCTCTGTACGGCTCGTACCTCGCACTCGTTTCCTTGAATGGCAGCAGGTTGGTCATGTAAGACGGCACATAAAAACTGCTCCGGTTTCGTATCTTGTACAGCCATACCGCTTCCTTTTGCCGCCATCGGTCGGTTGCTGGTGTGATGCCCAGCTGCTCGTACATTAATACAGTGTTCTTTGTTGACATCGATAAAATTTTGTTAAGTACATGCGGACTGTAAAAATCTGTATGTTTTTGTAAACAATACTACTGTTTGTAACGTTGCACCATGGAAATACAACTCAACTATCACCATAAGTATTGTACACGCACATATTAATTAAGATGTTTGATCTGTAAAACACCTGCTTTGGGTGTCCGCTAATGATCATTGTACGGAGTAATAGATGTTTGTAGACTCTGTACATACATGTCCATCTACCCAACGTAACGCACAATCCAACGTAATGCACTTCTACCCAACGTAATGCACAATGTGCTTAAGCACAGTAACATCGCACATTTCTACTGGAATCCTCACACTTCACAGCAGGGTTTGTTGAACAATAATTACAACGTAAGCTGAAAGCAGGGACTGCTGCTCCTGTTTACGCGATAGTTTATTGAGATGGCAATTCAAGAAGCTGCTTTATCCTGCAGCAACCTTTCGCTTCCGTCGTCCACATACGCAGCCAGGCATTTCTGCTGCTGTTCAAAATAACTTGTAATTATGCCACAATGACTCAGATTCAACCCAGAACAGTGGTCGCAGTAATTATGAACGAGAGGAGCCCACGTACGATGGCGAAAGCTGAACCGGGTTCTACAGTGTACAACAACCAAACAGTAATAAGCAGGCCGACCACCACTTGCGCAGAACAAGGTCATCCGGCGGTCCGATCACCCGCACTGGACGCCTGTTGGCTGCTGCCGGAAGCTGGCAACGCCCAACAACACGCTCCGCCATCGCTTCACTTCCGCCCACGTCGATCGGCCGCTGGCATTGCGGCACACGCAGCACCTCGTCCTCGCGCTCCTGCCCGTCGGCGTCCCGACAGCCCGGACACAGCGTCGCCGGCGGGAACTGCTGTTTGGGGTAGTTCTCGTCCTCGGTCACATCGCCGGCCAGCCGGCTTGCTGACCTCGTTGTGCACGCGCCACAGCCACAGCACGGCGTTGCGCGGCGAGAGCACCTGCGTCTGGGATAATAAGGCGTTGACCTCGCGCATGAAACTATCCCGGCACTCGCTGCAGGAGAAGAAGCGGCCATGGCCAGTGCGTTGGCGTCGGCCTGCTCCCGGTTCTCCTCATGAAAGAGCTGCCATACGGCGCGGCGCATGCTCCACATCCAGGCCGGGCTTTTCAGTCCTGGCGGGACTGGTTAGGTCCAGAGATTACACATACGGATCGCATCCGTACGTGTAAACACAAAGCCAGCAACTGCCAGAGTGTTAAGTGTGAAAGGTCCCGAAACGTTCTGCTAATACAATCTTCCACGGCTAACTGTTTCAAAGAGCCTCATCATCGCCAGTACGCGTATGTACAGGTCGATCGCACCAAGTGTGGGCAGTTGAGTAAAATAATTTGAAAAATAATGCTGTAAACAATTTTGTTGTTTACTTTCATCTTATTTAGTGCAACTTTTTATTGCGGATCCAGTGATGTCAAACCTGAAATCCGTTGATGCGTCCAGAACGAGTAGGGCGGGGCTTAATGGGAGAGGGTAGGGGTCAGTTTTTTAATGATTACAACCGCCCTTCTCAAAAATTCAGCATCTAATGTTTTTCTACAAACCTTTTTGTAAACTATGGAGTGGCTTTAAAGGAATTCGTTAAGGGGTAACAAAGGATTCTGGAGCGCACAGTGCTCGGTAGCAAGCTTAAAACAAAAGTGTCTCCCATAGACTTATATGTTAAAAGCTACCATCCGAAGAATGTGGTTGCCTAGAGCGCGGATCACGTTGGGCCAGATGTTATTGGTTCAAAGGACGTGAGAAAAGGACCACTAGAAAACCACAATATTCTTTGATAGTTCTCACGCATCCAAAATTTTTAAAAAGTTATTGACTGGACATGAATATTTCCTATTAAGCAGTGCGAGTTTTGGGGCAAATGTGAAAGTAAAAATTCCGCTTCCGTTCCGTGCGTATTAACTTCTGCCGCAGAAATATGACTAAAAACGTTTCTCTAGAACACGAACTATCATAAAAAAATAAGAAAACGATTATGTGGTTCAACGGTAGCAAATGGGAATTTTTTGTCACTGCCCACACTTGGTGCGATCGACCTGTACGTTAATGACGTTTAATATACAATGTTGGATGATTAAAATTTCAATTTTGATCTGGCTGATAATCAAAGCAAGTTTAAGCAACTACGGAACTTTATAATTACCATAGTTTCCTCTTGCAAAAGCAGACAGAAAATAAGTCCAGTTTCTCGGCGATCAATCTATAGTGACGGCCTAACTACAAAAAAAATCCAAAAAATCCCAATTGGATCCAAAAAATGGGAGAAAATTGGATGCAAAATTTACTCCCATCTACATTTAATAGAAGTTTGATCTATATTGATCATGATGCTGTCCCCATGATCGACGCCGCATTAATATTTCCTCGTTGGCTTTCGATGCTGATTTTTCTAATGAGTTTTATGCGACCAGTGGTTTCTTATGTAACCTAATTCCTAGGTTATTCTTTATAATACTACGTTGTATGTTAGTTGCGACCAGTGGTTTCTTATGTAACCTAATTCCTAGGTTATTCTTTATAATACTACGTTGTATGTTAGTTACCGACTTACCGTCACCTGCCAGGTGGCCGGCAGTACCCCCGGCGGGACCCCCACCGGGGCCTTTGGGAGCGCACCAGTGGCGGCGGACACCCAGGCTCTGACCGCCAGCAGCTGCAGCGTTCCCGGCACTTTCGTCGGCACCGCCACCACCGCCACCGCCGTGACCTATGCCGCGGTCACCACCGGTTCGCCGTTCACGGTGGCTACCAACGGGCAGATCACCCTCAACCAGGTGACCTCCGGCACCCAGACGCTTGTTGTAAGTAACCTCCGTACCATGTGGGCGTCCGTCCGTCTCTGTTCAGAATTTGTGTCTTAAGGTCAGGGCCACCAACGCGTACGGCAGCACGCAGTTCCAGGTGCAGATCACCTGTCCAAGCAGCACCGCCGCGGTCTTCCCGGCCTTCACCTCGCCCCTGTACACCATGTCGGCGTCACCCTGCACGGCTGGTGCCATCGTCGGAATCGTCACCGCGACCCCCACCGGCACCGTCAACTACCAACTGGTCTCCGCCGCCCCGGTCACCGTCAACTCCGCCCCCGGCCAGATCCAGCTGACCTGGGCGCCCACCACCAGCCCCTTCAACTTCGCCGTCACCGCCAGCAACAGCCGCGGCACCACGGCGACGACGGTGACCCTGACATGCACCAGCAGCTCCAGCGGGGGCACCACCACCAACCGCATCTACTTCACGGTCCCGGTATATACCTGCTATCCGACCGGGACGCCGGTGGGGTGCTGGGACAGGTCGGGGTGGTGGGCGCCACCACGGCGCCGACGTTCACTATCACCTCCACCAATCCCGGTAAGTGTGACCTTGCGCACCCTCGACCGTAGCGCTTCCGACGTGCAAATCGATCGTCTGACCGGGGTGTCATGCAGGGTACGCCATCAGTCAAGCCGGCGTTATCACCAACCCCACGACCGGCCCGGTGTCCGGGACGTACACCGTGCAGGCCACAGCCAACAGCGGCCAGACCGCCACGGCCTCCTTCATCGTCAACCGGATGTTCTGCACGACCAGCAGCGGCGGGACCACCGGCACCTGCCCGGCCTTCGCCCAGACGTCCTACACCTTCACCCCCGCTGGCGGGTGCGGCTTCTTTGCGCCCATCGGCACAGTGTCGGCCACCTGCTCCACGGGGGGTGCGGTCACGTACTCGCTGCCCTTCGCCGCCGTCAACAACTTCGGCATCGACCCCACTAGCGGGTCGCTGTACGCCACAGCCCCGAGCACCACCTGCCAGACGGTGACGGTGACGGCTACCGTGCAGGATGGGACATCACGGACCGCGCAGGTGGCCAGCGCCTGCAATGGCGGCACCTGCACACCCACCACAGGTTAGTCAACTGGGCTGTCGCAATTCGCACACTCACCTGCTGGCTCTCGATACTTTATTTCTTCGAAGTGGCTATGCGCAGGAGTTTTTGTACTGCGGTGCTGTACTGTGCAGTGTGCATCATACGTCACATAGCAACCACAATACTGTTCGACCGTACTTGCACAACACTGGTTAAATACGATGTGATACGTACGGTTTAATGCTTGTTTTGATTGCATGGCAATACAGTTGTATAGTTTTTTTTTTACCTTCCCTGATATTTTTTGGCCCCTGGGGGCCGGGGGTTGCATCGGTTGCAGTCTAACATTAATATTAAGCAGTCAGCATGCACAACACACTACGACTGCAGGTGCTGGTAGTGGTAGCGTCAACACATAAATTTTCTCAATGTGTTTTACAAGGCAATGTGCAGAGGAAAAATTGCATCAAATCAAAAATTCGCGCGCAAAGCCAGCGCGCGCTTTTCCGGCCAAAATTGTTAGGACATTGCATCAAATAAGCTAACACGGTTCCGAATTTACGGTAGCAGAAGTTGAAGATGAATATCGTTCGTACACCGACCCACTGCTCAAGCATGCTTTCAAATTTTAAGACCAAATTCAAAAATTTTAAAGTTCAGGTTATAAACTCGAAAAAATCATGAAGGTCTGAACCGGTGTTAGAGCGAACTTAATAATTTTCGCAATTACATACAAAATTCGGAGAAGAACGGTCCATAATGGGACGTATGGTACCCCTAAATTAACTTAAAATTTTTTGGTATTATCAGCCCTCATGAATCATGATCCCCAACCGGATGATGTGGGTTCAAACTGAATTTAAGCCTTTGTATACAAAGTATTTGCATGCAGTATACAAAGCCAAAAAGCAGTCCTAAAACAGGTTTGAAAATTAGCGAAAGTCACAGGAACCGTGAATGCAAACAGATTCAATACAGTGTACCGGGTCACTTCCCTTAAAGGTAAGCCACATCGTTTCACGTGCCCATATATATAATATATATATATATAATATATATATATATATATATATATATATATATATATATATATAATATATCTATATGTATATATATATCTATATATATATATATCTATATATATATATATGTATATAATATATATATATCTATATATATATATGTATATATATATCTATATATATATATATGTATATATATATATATATATATATATATATATATAGATATATATGTAGATATAACTATATATATATATGTAGATATATTATATATATATATATAATATGTATAGAGAATATATATATATATATATATGTATATATATATATATATATATATATATATATATATATATATATATATATATATATATATATATATATATATATATATATATATATATATATATATATATATATATATATATATATATATATATATATATATATATCCAGCCAAATGTGGGCAGTTTGTCTTAAAATTTCCCATAAATGATCCATCACCAAAGAAAAACTTATCAACTGTTTTTATGATCCCTGTTTGTGTCCAACGTCTTTTGCACTTCAGCTTTCCATACTGAGAGCGTGATTTGGATTATAGTTGAAGAAAAACTGGAACGGACCAGCTGAAAAAGGTGGTTCGACCCATCGCACTTGTTTGTTCCTGCCCATTTAAAAATTTGATTAAAAATTCTGTCGATATGGTAGTCTAAAAGCAATAACTCTAAACTGTTTGCCATTTAGTCCTCTTGCGAATCAGTGTATGCCCCAGCCGATTTCAGTCAGGCGTTGGTGACCTTTGCAGTCTGACTGTAGACACCCGACAACTGGAGGGTGACCCTCTTGTTTGCTCGTCGTACAGTCGCAGGGTGCATTACGTGAATGTTTTGGGAAAAATCTCGTTCATGAAACCCTAAGCGTCAATTTAAGCTTTTTTATCCTCACAACAAGCCCGGGGTATTACGTTTCCAGTAGTTCAAACAGCAGCTACAACTTTTTTTATCCCCAGCTTGGTCGGTTTTTTGTACCACTTATTCGACACAACTATCTCCCCGCCTGCGCGATAAATTTCAATCAAAATGTTAAATTTGTACGATGTTATCCATGTCTCATGCATTCACAGTATCAATTCGGGTTACCACATTATGTGCGCTAGGCAACCCTATTGTTCTTAAGGTGCGTTATAACATACAAGTCTATGGGAAAGATACCTCATTTCGTGGCTGCCGCGGGCACGGGTGGAGTACGATTTTTTTGCTAACTTGTAACGACCACCTTTTGGATCTCTTAATAGTTTGCAAAAACACTCACGGAAAAATCGGTCAATTGTATCAATCGGTCAAAATCGGTCAATATCTATCGGTCAATTGTTTAGAGGGGCAGTTATAAGTGCCCAAAATCCGAGCACCACCCCATCCCCTAAATCCCCGCTTGGCTCGCTACTGGCATTCCAAAACGTACCGGTTTTAACATTTCTGGATTCGCAGTAAAAAGTTACACAAACCATGTTAAGAACGAGAAAGCAAAACGATCAATACAACTATTTTATAATTTATTTTTTACTACTTTCTCACACTTGGCTGGACCACCCTGTATATATACATTCACCTTTTTGTTAGCTCGAAGCTCTACTGTGGTGGATTTGCATAATATGTATCTGAAGCTCTAAGAACATCACGTGCAAAGCGGAGAAAAAAAGCTTGCTGTTCCTCCATGCAAACCTTATACTCTGTAGATGCCAAGCTTCCCACTTGCTTTCTTGAACAGCTTTTTCAGCTGAAAACAGTTACTATAAACTATAAAGCAGCAAATTTCGAAAAATCAATTTTACAAATCATCGGCAGTTCAGCAAGAAGCCAATCGCGCCCGCCCGTGAAGGCACTTCACAGTATAACTACGCGGAAACCACCGCAGAGGGCAGATACTTGAAAATAGGTTTGCCGTCCCGCAGTCCCAGAATCTTCTCGGTCAGATTTGTCCGGTTTTATTTTGTTTTTCACAGTACTGAAATTTTGATGAGAAATGTACAGTAAAAGAGCATTTCGGCGACGGAATAATCTATTATGGAACGTAAAGTTCCATCCAGCTGCAGCCGAACTGCCAAAAAATGCGAGTTAGCTTGTTGAGACAGTGGTGGGTGGTCCGTCTTGCAGTGGTGGCTCTTTTGCTTTTCCCAATGACCTCTCATGTTAAAGCTTTTGAAAGTTTTTTTTTAAACGTTATCTTTTTCTTCAAATCTGATTGGTGACGGCAAATCTACACTTTAAAGGCTATCGAATGATACTGAGTCATGGCAGTTTGGTTCAGCGTATCGAGCTGGCGAACTCAACAAACATATTATAGGCTTACGCGACCGTTTGCCTCATTTGCCTTTCTCGGATTGAATTTTTACTGAGAACGAAAAATTTCAAAAATCTGGCTTTCACAAAACTTAATACACAAAAAATAGTTAATATACACTCCGCGGTATTGTAAGTTATACAAAAATAGTTTTAAAAAAAGCCAGTTACGCACAAAAAAGTCGAATGCCAGTTACACAGTCGAATGCCAGTTACGCTTGATTTTCAGTAATTCCCCCGACACTGCTTAAATAAGATTCACTTTGCGTATACACTATTCTACAGAAAGTCTCACTTTCTTCATAATAGTCTATTACATCAAGATTCCTTCCCGACTGTTGACGGTTTGACTGTTGGGATCAGAGTCCATTGAGATAAGCGCAACAACTGTGATTTGCCCTATTAAATAGGCCACACACACAACTTTGAAAACGTTATCCGAAATGAAAAGCAAGTATAGTCTATTACATCAAGATTCCTTCCCGACTGTTGACGGTTTGACTGTTGGGATCAGAGTCCATTGAGATAAGCGCAACAACTGTGATTTGCCCTATTAAATAGGCCACACACACAACTTTGAAAACGTTATCCGAAATGAAAAGCAAGTCCCGACTTGCTTTTCATTTCGGCACAGCACTCTGACATAGATGCCAGCTCGCTCCACATAGATAACTTCACGTCGCGTTCATAGTTATCGTCATGGCAGTTCATCTGCTACCACGGCAATGGTTGTTTTGCGTTATCTCAGTGGACTTTAATCCCAACAGTTTACCCGGCAACAGTCGGGAAGGCATCGTCATGTAATGGACT